GTTGTTTCTGTCCATGTATGGCATCATGAAGGGTGGTCAACACAGATCTCACTTCGGTGATGGCTGATAAGATCGTGTCTCCTCAGAATGCTTTCCTTGTCTTTCCTTGTCTTCTCCTCTCTCCACCCGTTACACAGCAATATACCCTAGCTCACAAGCTCGCAGTGGTTCGTCTTGCCAAGCTGGCAAACCTGACACCCTCAACGACCTCTTTCCCTTCCCGCAGCAGCGGTTTCACGCAAGTCCTAAGCGGCCTGACCCCCGGAGTCGCGAGCTTGACGTGCAGACGGGAGGGTTTCGCCTCTCCCCCGAGACCGCCATGTGTGCTGCACGAGCAGATCCGGACGAAGATGAGTCATACCGGCTTCTGATCTGACTGACGTCTGATCTGAGCGTGCTCCATTGCACACCACACACAGACAGCAGGTCAGTACTGTAAGGTTACAGATAGACAGACAAGGCCAGGCCGCACACAGGCGCGCCGACGTCAAAGAACAATGCGTCCAGTCCAGCTCTCTCTCCTTTATTGGAATATCTGCCTGCCCTGCCGTGTTCTGCTGCCCAGGGAGGGGCCCGGTGCTTGGTGTGTGGCTGACTGACTGGCTGGCTGACTGACTGACTGAGTCGGATGGATCCTCTGGACATCGACGAGCTCATCGAGGACGGGCCCCTGCGCTCACCCGCATTCCCACCAGACAGGCGCCGCATCCTGTCCGTCCATCAGCAGCCGACAAGCCGCCGGAGCGTCTGTGGCGCCGCTGCCGCTGCTGCAGCTGCGGCGGCTGGTGGGCAGGCAGACGAGCCGACCACTAGTGGCCGATTCCGATCCCTGGTGTCCGGCAACGACGGCACGAGGGGGAGGGGAGAGAGTGTCGGGGATGTGGAGGCCGCCGTAGGCAGCATGATGCGCTCAGCAAGGTCGGGTCGGTCAGCAGGGATTGATGGACAGATACAGTCAGGCAGCCCAACCAGGTGTGCTGTCTGTTTCTCTCTCTCTCTCTCTCTGTCTGTCTCTCTGTCTGTCTGTCTGTGGTATAGGTATAGTGGCAGTGGAGCACACGAGGCGGACGGGTCGACATCGGTGTCAGAGAGCAGCTTTGGCGACACGGACGACCAGCCGCAGCTCTTGCGGGAGGGCACCCATGGCACCAGCGGCCGGTGTCATCGGCTGGTGGGCTGCATCCGCTTCCCCAACAGGTGGTCGCTGCTGTGGTACAGCGGTGGCTGCACCTCCCTCGTCGCTCTCACATGGACGATCACAAGTAAGTATGGACACAGGCGCGGACACACCTACCCAACCACCGATATGCCCTCTGACTGATGCTGATGGGATTGGTGCAGCCACGCAGTCTTTGACCCCCTCGTCGCCCCTGCACGCCTGGCTGGCGCTGGCCGCCGTCTTCCTGATCGCCCGAATGGTGTCGTTCCTCTTCTTCGGCCTCATGGTGACGGTGGCTGCCTACGTCGACCCCGAGGCCAACCTGCCGTCGTCGCTCGTCATCGAGACGCTTCACCTCTCGTGTGGGAGGGTGCTGTGGTATGGGCTGACCCTGCTGGCGTACGGGCGGGTGGTGGAGAGGACTGTCGGCGGTGGCGGTGGGGATGGGGATGGCGATGGGAAGGGTATGCCTGGTGTGGTCAGTGGGTGGATGAAGGTGGTACTCGTTGCCATGCTCGTGAGGAGCATACTGGTGAGGTGATGAGAGCAAGAGCAAGAGATATCGATGGTCGCATCGCTGGCTCTCTCTCTCTCTCTCTCTGTGCGTCGAGCTCAGACCATTGTTCGCGAGCTGTTGATGACGTATGTGTCCGTCCAGTCGTCACACACGCGCAACCGGCAGCTGCAAATCATGGTGGTACGGCACACACACACACACACACACAGGGAAACGTACACGACTCGTTTATCCATCCATGTGCGTCCTCGTGCAGTGGAAGCAGCGCGCCTTCGCCAGGCTCAACCGGCTGCCACCCCGCTTCGCCCTGACGACCCACCTGCACGCGCTCCGCAAGAGCCACTTTGCCGCAGCCACCCACGACACCCACTACCGCGTTTCCATCATGCGCCACACTCAGCCGGCCACGGCGGGGCCGCCCCGTCTGCGGCGCGGCTGGACGGCCGCCGTGTCGGCGCGCAAGGACGCGTCCAGAAGTGGGGGAGACAAGAAGAAGGGTTGCAGCAGTGGAGAGGGGAAAGACGGTCAGCCGGGTGGGGGCAACGGCAGCAATGGCGGCAACGGGTAAGTCAGTCAGTCAGTGGGTCGTTGAGGTGGCTGGTGGGTGCGGAGGCCCTCTGTTTCCCTTAAATTCTCTGTCTGTCTGTCTGTCTATTTTTTAGTTGGGGTGAGCCGACAGCGTGGCAGAGCTGGCGTGCACGCTCCCATGTTATCTGCCACCCTCTCCGACTCCACCTCAAAGGTAGGTAGGCACCGACCCGACACACACACACACACACACTCACAAAGGTGACCAGGCGAGACACACGACTCACATCCGACGGTCCATCCCTTCCTTCATCTATATTCCCATATGTATGTCAGGTCACCACCGAGTGGACATTGAGAGCAGGGCCGACGTGCGGTCGTACGGCAGCCTCCTCTTCACCCACCTCCTGGAGGCACAGCACCAGCTCTTCGCCGCCTGTGACGCCAACACCGACACCGACACCGACACCGAGGGAATCGGCCCCGCGAGCGTCAATTACCTCACTCGCAGCCTGCTGACCGTCTACCTGTGCCAAGAGGACACCGACAGATTCATGACCATCGTTGACCCCATCGGTGAGTCAGTCAGTCAGTCAGTATGTCCGTCGTCTGCACAGACAGTCGGCCGGGCACACACGCACACACGCACACACGTGTGGTTATGCTATGACTGTCTGTGTGCAGGCTCAGGGAGGGTGACGCGAGGGCGTTTCCTGTCTTCCCTCTTGGCGGCGCACACGGAGCGTCAGCAGCTGCTGGCGTCTCTGCGGATTGACGAGAACGTGGCCGACATCGTCAAGAACCTTCTGCACATGCTGGAATGGGTCATGGTGGGCATCACGGTGCTCTACCTGAGTGGGGTCAACCTCTACGGCACACTCATCGGCGCCTTCACCATCTTCACTGGACTGGCCTTCGCCCTCGGCAACACCTTCAAGAACTTCTTCGACTCGCTCGTCTTCGTCTTTGTCCAGGTCGGTGGGCGGACGGGGTTCGTGTGGGGGTGTGTGGAGCTTCTCTCTCTCTCTCTCTCTGTGTGTGTGTGTGTGTGTCAGCACCCGATGGACATCGGCGACAGAGTGGTGGTGAATGGGGGCGTGCCGATGTACGTCAAGCGCATCAACGTCATGAGCTCCACCTTCGTCACCATGCACAACAAACAGGTCCGTCCTGTCCTGTCGCTCCGCGGGGCCATAGAGGTCCCAAACCAGCCGTCAAATAGCTGGCTGGCTTACTGGCTGATTGAATGGTTTGATTGCAGGTGTCGATGCCCAACTTCCAACTCTCGACGGCCACCATCACCAACGAGAGCAAGTCGCCCCCGGCCAAATTCGAAATGATTTTCAGGTCGGTGGGGTGGCCGGCGCGTTGACTGACTGACACCCATGGAATAGATGGATGCGTTCTCTCACGTCTCGTCTGTGTGGCTTGGCTGGGTGTGTGTATCCCTTCCTTTATCAACAGCATGGGCAGCGACACATCCGGTGAGCAGTTTGCGGCACTGAGGGGGAGGCTGGCGGACTACTGCCAGAAGAGCCCCGCCGATTGGCTGCCGGGGCCCACCATCAACGTCTACGACATACAGCCGGACCACCACATGCGGGTCGAGCAAGCCAAGCCACACCACCCGACCCCACCAACCAGCCCTTCCTTTGTCCCACCACACCGACACCGACACACACACACACACACACACACAGATGTCTGTCTGTCTGTGTGTGTGTGTGTGTGTGTCAGGTGGGCGCGTGGGCCACCCATGTCAGCAGCTGGGGCGAGGTGGGTGCCATCTACAGCGCCAGATCGTCGCTGTTTCTGCATCTGCTGTCCACGATGCGCGAGCTGGGCATCTCTTACAAGCTGCCGTGCCAGCCGGTGGCCCTGCAGCCCACCGGCATGGCCCTTGACGTCTGTCCGCCCTCCCCCGCCCCCTCAACGACCACCGAGTTCATTCCATCACCTCGTATGCTGTAGTTAGTCAGTTGGTGTGTGTGGTGTGGTGCAATCAATGGAGTCTTGAGATGGATCTGGATGGATGGCTGGATGGATGGATGGCTGCTTCATCGCGTTGAAGCGCCGTGTGTGTGTGTGAGGTGTTTGGTCACTCATTCAATGCCCAATGCCCTCGTAGGTGCAGGCTGTTGACGTAGGTCTGTCTGTTTTGTTGAAGCGCTTTCTTTGCAAAGGTCGGGGTGATTGATGTGGTACTTGCTCTGCTCTGCTCTGCTCGACACGCTGCTGTGGTGTGGTGTGTGGTCTTGCTTGTGTATTTGGTGCATTGCATTCGTGTGGCGTTGTGTCTGTCGGGTGTGGTGTGTGCATGTGCTGGGTCAACATACCAATGGGTCAGTCAGTGAGTGAGAGACACAAACAGGTTGTGTCTGTGAAGAGACGGTGTGTGCTGTGTGGCGCGTGCAGCGTGTGCGGCTGCCTGGCTGGCTGGCTGGCTGGCTGGCTGGGGAGCGTGTCAGACAGATAGGGGGGGCGGGGGGATTGGACGCAGACAAGAGCCGAGACCGATAAAGGGCGTTAACAGGTAGACAGCATGCAATGCAGCCACGAATGCAGTCAGTCGATCAGGCAGGCAGACACGGAGGACGAGCAGTGATACCTACCTACCTACCTTGTTCTCCTCCTGCTTTCTGTGCTCCATCCGACTCGGGCATGCCACCCCATTTCGCCCCCCAGCCTCTCCTGCTCTCCCGGTTGGGGCGATAGATAACCAACCGAGAGAACTCACAAACAAGGAGAACGTAGTGAGCGGTGCACCCACCGGCACCTCACCCCACCCGAAAGACATATCACTTGAAGGAGGGAAGGCCCCACCCACTCATCAGCTATCTATCTATCTACCGCATCCCCCCCCTCCCTCCCTGCGTTTCTTTCTCCCTGTCTGACTAGGATACACAAGGCCCACCCACCCCCCATCCATCCGAGCCCAGCCCATCCCAGCCCTGCAGACCCCCCTCTACCTCTCCCCTCTCTCTTTCAGCCCATCCGCTGGTGCACGCCGCTGGTCACCGCCCGGCGGCCGCCCCCGCCACTGGCCCCCGCCGTGCCGTTGGCGCCCCCCGCCTCGCCAGCCTGCACCTGCCCCTGCAGCTCCAGCTGCTCCAGGAAGGCCATGTAGTGCGAGAACCGGTGCATCGTCTTGTCGAACTGCTGGGCGGCGCTCGCCACGGACGTCGAGGTCTTGATGGGGTACACCAGCGGCGACGGCGAGGCCGACGTGTCCACGCGCCAACCCTTGGCTGAAGTGAGCGACCGAAGCAGACAGACAGACAGACAGGCAGACAGACAGCGATGGATTCACAAGGCTGACTGAGTGGATCTGATCTGATCTGTGTCGTGTGTGTCACTCTCTGACCTTGGAAGAGTTGCATGGAGTCGTTGGGCTGCATGTTGAGGAGCTTGCACGCCGCATCCAGACGAATCGACTTGTACGCCCTGATCGACACACGCACGCACCACACACAGATATGCGGGACACAGCATCCATCAGCCAGCCAGCTAGCCAACCACCGCTCCCATCCCTCCCACCCTCACTGACTGACCGTCCGATGAGCCCCAGCGTGGCCTCCCGCTGCCTACGGCAGAGGGCGTGTGCGAGGACGTTGACGGGTGCGCTCCAGGCATGCCCCTCGAGGTGCTCGAAGGCCCCGCCCTGGCTGTTGTTCCACTTGGCCTCCAGCACACGGTGAGCGGCACTCAAGTCGGCGTTGCTCTTGAGCGAGGCGGGGATGCGCTTCCAGAGGAACCGCGCGCCGTGGACGTCGTCCTCGTAGAGGCAGGCGAGCATGTGGATGGTGTACATGGTGGCCTGCTCGGTCGCACCGCTGTCAGATCCCGCTGTCGTGAGGATCTCCACCTGCTCGCAGTGGCCCTTGAGGCACGTCAGGTCGGGGGAAGGGTCCGTCAGGATCTGCATGATGGCCTCCGTCGCCATGGGCAGCTACTCACACACACACACACACACACACACACATCAGCAGCAGCGAGAATCAGTACTCACCAACAGTCATATGCCGTTTCCTTTGCTGTGTGTCCGTCCCTTCAGGACTGACCTGAGGGAGTGCTGTGGTGTCAGGAGAGCAACACACACGCTGTCAGCCGTCTGACTGTGGTGGGTCTGACAGACAACACCAGCACCAGCAGCACGATTGATTCCAACATTTATCCCATAGATAGATCTGTGTCCGCAATGATTACCTGAAGCCTGGCGGCGCTGGGTGGGGTGGAGGGGGTGGACACGCAGCGCAACGCAACAGACACACTGACAGACCAGAGCATGACGTCATTCGTGGACCTGTGACTGTCATCTGTGGCTGTCATGGCTACCTGGGATGCTTCGTTCCTTCGTCGACGAGCCACGAATTCGCAACGTTCTGTGAGAGTGAATTGACACGGGGGCTGCAATCAACGCGGCAGGAGAGCTTGCTTGTCTTGCGATCTACGAGACACGCAATCGTTGGTTGCTTTGTTTCGGTTGTTGCCTTCATGTTGGACTCGTACATCAGGTACGTGTTTGGTCGTCCCTCTTTCCTTTCAACGCACACACCAGACACGGATCTCGAGCCCCACGCGTGTTTCATTGTCTGGAGCACCATGACTCCACGAAGTGTCCGGAGACATTCACACGACAAGCCACGCTCCTTCATGGAGATAAAGACAAGAGGCGCGAAAGATAACAAAACCATGGCGTCCCATCCAACACACAAAGAAGACGGCGGTCCGTCCGCAAGCGCACGAGGACTCCAGTCGACATCAAGGATCGCATGGCATCGCATGGCATGAACGGGCAGCAGAAATCACACAGGGGCGCGCAACGCACACTGGGGACCCCTCATCCATCCATCCATCCATCCATTCGTGAGCTAATTAATTAGGCATCTCCCTCCCTCTCTATACAAAGGCATACCCGTCCCTCCCTCCCTCTACCAGACAGAACTCTTCTCCCTCCCGTGCTTGCTTATCGGCCATCGGTCTGGTCTGTGTGTGTTTATCCGACGGCGATGCGTGTCTGCTTCCTGAGGCCATCCAGCTCGTAGTTGGACTCGAGGTTCTTGAAACACGTGTGGCAGATGGTCTTGACACCTGAGTCACACACACACACACACACACGCAGACAAGACAGACAGACAGACAGACAGACAGACAGAGAAATATAGTGGGTGGATGTTGTGTGACCGTCGCCTGCATCGACACACCTACCTTTGGAAGTGGTCCAGATGACCTTCATGTACGTCTGCCTCACCTGCAGCCACCAAACCAAACCATACGTTCTCATCGTGTGCCTCGCGCATGCAGTGACTGTTGAGTGTGTGTGGCTGGATGAGATGAGGCGAGCGCACCTTGTCGCACCGGAAGCACACGAACGCCTGGAGAACATCGGTTTTCTTCTGCTTGAACAGGTGCGGCTGGCACTCGTCGTCGAAATCCTTCTTCTCTACCGGAGTGAACTTCTTCAGCGCCTTGACCGCACGGTTCTTATCTGCTCACACAGACACACACGTCCGCACGTCACAGCACGCCTGCCTGCCTGCCTGCCTGCCTGTGCGTTCGTTACCCCTGGAAGTGGTCGCGTTGTTGAGGATGTCAATGAGCTCTGATTTCTTCAAGTGCGTCATACTCCCGCCGCCCTTAGTCATCGTTAACGCGTGGTTGCCGCTCTTTTCCTTCCCGGCACGTGAGCGATCGCTTTCAAGCTCGCGGGCGAGCAAAGGACGGCGAATCTGCTGGTGGCGAAAGGGGGAGGAGAAGGTGAAGCTGAGAAGGTTAGCTGAGTCAATTGGACCTGAGAGCTCTGCTATGGATGAGTTTGGGACCGGACTTCGTGTGTCGGTGATCCGGCGGACTCTGGTGGTGACGGCGCTGGTGTCGTTTAACGCGTTCGTGCTGTTCCCGGCCTTCCTTGGCGCCCGCACGTGGCTTTTTCCCGAGATTGGCCTCGACTGGGTCTTCCTGCCCGTGGGATTCGCCTGCATGTGCGCCTTGGCCTGTCCGGGAGGCATCACACGCATCGGGGGGTGCCTCTTCCTCCTCGCCCCCATTATCGTGCTCGTCGCCATCCAGACCGGCCAGCTGTGGGTGGCGCACCTCAGCTTCCTCCCCTTCTACTTCGCCCTTCTGGGGGCGCTGCGGTTCCACGCCGTCATGATGAGCTCCCTGCAGATGCAGCTCGAGATGACGCTGGCGTGCGGGGGCATCTCACGGCTGCCCTTCGCCAACACCGGGGACCTCATAATCTTTTTCTGTTACGTCTTCGTGACCAACCTGCTGCCCCTCAGCGGCATCGCCTACGCGTATGGGATGAGGATATGGAACCGCAAGATCTGCGTGGCGTTTGTGGTGTGGATTCTGTACAACTGCACCACGGCCATCCAGAGCTTCTTTTTGCCGGGGTTCCCCCCCTACCTCCTCGTCGCTCTGCCCATCCTCTTCGGCTGCCTGGCCATCGTGATATCCCTCGAGATGTTCCTCAACTGGCGGCGGCTCGAGACGCTGTCCTTCTTCAACCCTGGCACCGGGCTCGACTCACGCGAGCTGCAGCAGCTGCGGTCAACGGTTAGTGAAGCGGGCGAGCGAGTGCGTCGACAGGGCCGATCGTGCTGTTAATCTGTGTGGCGCTTGCGCGCGCGCGTGTGTGTGTGTGTGTGTGCAGGTTTTGCACGACCCAGCAGAGATCGGATGCGACTTCTGCACAATCTGCCAGGTACCTGCGGTGGGGTGCGCACCGCACAGCAGAAGCACAGCCTTTCCCTCCCTCCCTCCATTGCCCTTTCTGTGTCTGCCTGCAGGACCACATCTGTGTGGGTCAGATGGTGACGTCTCTGCCCAACTGCCCGCACCAGTTCCACACGGCCTGCATCAACCTCTGGCTGCGGCAAAAGGCCATCTGCCCCAACTGCAATATGAGCGTCAGGTCCAGCGAGCCACGCTCCGCAGGAGGCGACAGCAACGCACAGACCGACGGCCAGGCAGACCAGCCGCCCCCGTCCACCCGAGAGGTGTCCCCCAACGCAGGCAGATTCCTGGCGGGCATCCTCGGCACCCATGGCACAGCAGCGATGGGGGAGGCGGGGGACGCGGACGCCTCTAGTGGCTATGGTGAGCTGCCTGACGGGCCGCCGCACGAGGGGCTGGGCTCGTCTGCCAGCCGGGCGCCGACCATCTCGTCGGCCAGCACCATTTTCCCCTGGATGTTCGCCAGCAGCCCCACCCCCGCCGCCCCTGCGTCAGCGTCCTCATCGGGGCAGGCCGCCGCCCCTGCCTCTGGCTACGTCCCGCCCCCGTTCGTGTCTTCGTCCTCTCAGAGGGCCGAAGGAGTCGGCTCGCCGGCAGGAGAGCCTTCGGCAGCGGTCGGAGGGCTGGGCATGCAGCCTTTGGGTCACCCTCACCCGCGCAGCCACGGCCATCCATCCACACGAGTGTCGCCCGCCCCAGGCGGCCACCCACACACCAGCTCTCGCTCATCGCTCGGCCGCCTGACAGCCCTTCACCGAGTGATGAGCACCGACTCCGAGCCCGCCAGCTCGTCATCAGTGCGCAACGCTGGCGCAAGCTCACCGCCATGGCACTGGGACCGAATGCAGGACGGCAGCAGCATCGCTGGTCTGGGTGGAAGTGGTGGGTCTGGTGCTGGCGGCGGCGACGATGGGGCGGAGGACTCTCGTGATGGCGGTGTGGGTGTGGGCGTGGTTGTGAGGGGGAGGAGGCGGCGATCGCATGAAGAGGGGGCGGTGGCGGTGGACGTGCTGATACACGGGGGCGGCGCCGAGGGCGGCACACACGCGGCCAGCGACGGCCATGTGTGAGGAGGGGCGAGAGGGGCCGGTGGTATGTGTTTGCCGCGTATGTGTTTGCCGCGTCGCTGATGCATACATATATGCGTGTCGGTCACCGGTGGGTGGATCGGTGGGCTTTTGTTGTGATTGTGGGAGGGAGGGAGGGAGAGAGGGAGGGAGGGAGAGAGGAGTCATTCTAGCATGGGCGGCACCAAGAACGGTGCGTGTGTGGGGCGGGCGGGCGGGCATCCATCCATCGCGGTTGACCTTTTTTCGCGGCTCTACACAAGGCAAGGCCCTCAGATCTCGTTGATTGAATCAAAATGGTCTGCCTGTGTACCTGCCTGCCTGCCTGTCTGCCTGAGTGTCTGTCTGTCTGTCTGTGTGGCGCCTGGCGACTCATCTAGTCTTTCGGTCCACTGAGAGGGTGAGTGAGTTGAGTCCATTTCCATCCCACCAGCCTTATCCACACATTCATCCCCTTTCAGCCAATCCCCCGCCCCCCACACACACATACGATGTCTCTTTGTATGTGTCTGGGCAGAGCAGTCAGCTGAGTCATGAGCGCACGGCTCTGCCGATGGATGAATGGATGGATGGAGAGGTGCCACTCACCTCACTGCTACTCTGAGAGAGAGGGTGTGGGTAATATGTGCGTCTGCTTTTGAGGTGGGGGGCTGGGGGGGTGGGCAGGGGTGGGGGGGTGGCCTGATGTGTATCATAGCACCGCCTCTAGCTGCCTGTCGGTGTGTCTGTCAATTGCTGTGGTTCGGGTAAATGGGAGCTGAGTCGTCTCTCCCTTCCTCCCTCTCTCTCAACCCTCTCCCTCTCTGTCTGTCTTCTGTCTTTCTCTCTGTAGTCCGCAGTGTGTGTATTGCACATCGTGACTGTGATTGATGATTATGGCGATGGCGCAGACACATTTCTCTTCTCTCCCTCAATTGACCTTGATACGTGCGGTAGGTTGTTCGAATCATTGACATCAGTCCATCAAGCCAGTCAAAGTCAAGATATCGTGGTGGTGGTTAAGGGCAAGATTGTCGGCTCAGCCAGCCAGGGATGTGTTCTCGAAGTGTTTCTTTTGACTTGATTGACACAAAGCGCGTTCCAAAACCAAGTCAGGTCAATCAACCAGACAGACGCGGCGACCAGCCCGATCGAGACGTAATGATTGCTTCGTTCCACCATGGCCACACGAAGTACATGCATCATGTGAATTGAGGTTCAGCTGCTGCAGCTGCCATCTCTGCCACCACACGACGTCGTGAGGACAGCTGGGCGGCCGTTTGTATGGTTGGCTAGTTCCTCCTTCCCGTTGCCAGCAGCTTTGTGGGGCTCTCGGTCCGGCCCGCATCAGCTGAGTCGATTCAACACGCGAGACAGGCACACACGGAATGGCTCGCGCTCGTGTGTGTGTGTGTGTGTGTGTGTGTACCTTTCTGCCACATGGCTGCCAGCCGGGGGTCCTCGGCCAAAAACTTCTCCAGTTCAGCAAACTTCTTAATCGCCTGGAAAAATACGCACACGCGCAGAGAGACAGACAGGAGAGACAGGGGCTGTCTGGTGTCTCAAGCCACCTACTCATTTACCGACCGCCTCTCTCTGACCTGCATCTCATGTCTGGCAAGGCGCTGTTCGAGGATCTGTATCCTAAACATGGCCTCACTCTGGTACTGCTCGAAGCCCTTTTCATCTTTGTCGACGGCTCCGGGGCCAGCACCGGGGCTTGGACCCTCTGCACGGCGCTGTAGGGCAGCCTGAGCGACGAAATGGACAGACAGAAGACGCTCACACTTGCGATCCATCTTCGTGCGAGGTGCGCCCTCACCCTTCTCTTTCTGAGCTGGTCGTGCTCCTCCTCGAGCCGCCGCTGAATGATGGCTGCACGGTCAAGCAGACGCTTCTGAACGGCAAGGGGAAGCGAGGCGAGGGGGGGACACACAAGGGGAGGAGAGGGAGGGAAAGTAGATGGTGTCGCGTGCGCGAGCGTGAGGATGTGTGTCTGTACTCTGAAGTCGTTTTTGCATTTCTTGGCGATCATCTCGGCGGTCATGGCGTCGATCGTCTTGCCTGAAGACAACACCACACACACAAGACACCATGATTCATGTCTCCTCCCATAGCTTCGTCTTCACCGCCTACCAGGGAATTCCAATAGATACGGCGCCAATGTGTCAACCTGCACCACACCCCGACACCAGGCAATCGATCATATCAGCCCGTCCGTCCGTCTGTCTGTCTGGCCTTTTTGGCCTCCTCGGCTTGTTTCTCCTCCTCGGTTCCCTCGCCCAGCGACTCCTCTTGGGCCTGTTCCCTGGCCAGGTCATACACACTCTTCTCGAGGATGCCGTTGGGGCCTGTATCGTATCCATTGAATGCTCAGTTGTCAGAACAATCGATCCATGACTCTTCTCGCGCTACCAAAGAAGTCGATAGGTTCAGCCGGGCCGGACGGGGCCGCGCCAGGCGCTGCAACCGGTGAGGCGGCACCGGGCTCGGCGCCTGCGGCTGTGGTTGTGGCTGCCTTGTGCTGCATCTGCTGGTGGTGGGCGGCGTAGCGGAGCGACGAGATCTTCAGCTCCTCCTGACGCCGCGTCTGCAATGAGTATAGGACATGCTGGTGTGTGCTGTGTGCTGTGTGCCGTGTGTTGTATGTGTAGAGGAGAGAGAGTGCGTACGGCGTGTTGGCTGTATGCGTTTGAGAGCGCTGTGGCCTTCCAGGTGAGGAGACAGTCCTTCTGCAGATGAAGCAGCTTCTGGATCTGACGCAAAGACACAGAGACACAGAACGAAGGGCTCGAGCAAGTTTTCGCTCTCCCTCCCCGCTGAGTACCTGTTGCGGGGCGGGAAGCGGGATGGGCGGGCCCTTCTTGAAGCGGAGGTAGTCCTCATCGAGCTTCATGACTGAATCAACCTGCATATAGACACACACACACACACACACCCGTGGATGCGATGCATTGGGGATGTGTAGGCGCCACTGGGTGAGTGTGTGTGTGGTGCCTTTTGGAACATGAGTGATGGCGTGACGACCCTGCCGGGGTCAGTGTGGAAGTACACGCAAACCTTCCCCTGACTCAGGTAAAACACCAGCTTCTGCACGTCCTGCTCCGCCAACACCTGTACACACGCACACACACACACGAACGAACGCAGCCATTCATACTGGCAACAGAAAAAAGAGAGCCGACACTGGTCTGCGTGTTGTGTGTGCGTGTCTGTGTGGGTACGAGAGAATACGTACGTCTGGCTTCCTTGCGAATTTCTGTGTCATTTTTCTGATGGGCAGCTCGCCTGTCTCGACTTCCAGGAAGTCCTTGGCGTTCTTGAGGCCCGGGTCCAGCGTGATGGAGTGATACGTCATGCTGCGTCCATCACACACCAGCACTGACTGAGTCGGGATATGGTGCCCCTTCCGTTCCGTGCGGTGTCGTGCCGTGCGGCCCACCGACTGACCGGTCTTCTCTCTCCTCGAAGTATTCAAAGATCTTCTCCCCTATCAGCTGTGAGAGACGGATTGTGTCTTTCTCTGTGTCATTTCATTCTCACAACTCACTCTCTCACTGCCTGTCTGACTGACCTCGACGTGTTTGATGAGTCCGTCGAGCCGCGAGTTGTAGAATGTCATCTCGCGACGCCGCGCCTCGACCTGCCACCAGTGAGTGACATGCATGAGACAGACACACGGCAGAAAAGGCTCCGCGGTAAGCCTTCTTTCTACTCACACACTCAGTGAGTCAGTCACCGTGGAGCGCCGCTCATTCACTGACCTGCTCGAACCGCTTGAGTGCTCCCGGCCGCCCCGGTGCGAATATCTCAATGAGTTTGTGCTCGCGGGGGATGCGAACGCGCTGCACCAACTTGTCCCTGTGTGTGCAGATGCATGCGCAGGACAGAGGAATGGCATGGGTGGTGTGATGACCAAAGGCCAGTCACCTTGCTTACCTTCTGTGGCTGAATGACTCGCGTATGGTGAGTGGCACAGTGCGGTGCGTGTCCTTGTAGACGCTGACTCGTGTGACCAGCCCGTCTGCCTGCGAGTATGCCGTGTACCGCTCGATCTTCAGCTTCTCGTAAAACTTGGTCGTCTCGTCTGCATGGCCATTCCCACACCCACACCCACTCCCACACCCATCAATCCAACTAGACGCGCGCCACATTTGTGTGTGTCGCCTCACTCGAGTAGAGGCGCTGCTGGAATTTCTCCCGCGATATCTCTATCGGCTCGGACCAAGAGGGCGGCAAGTCGAGGGTCTGAGCAACCAAACGACCATCCGCTTGTCTCTCCGCGTGTCTCTGTCTCGTCAGAGCCTACCTGCCTAGCTACCTACCTGGACAGCAGGGTGGTGGGTCTGCTCGCCGCCGGCGGCGGCCTCGAGGGACGGCTTGGCCACTGGTGCGCTGAGTGCCGGGGTGTGTGGCGACTTGGGTGTCATGGCGGGCATCGGCGGGGCGATAGCCTCGTCCTCATTCTCGTTGGCGTCGTCATTATCCTTCACATGTATACATGTGACAGACACACACAGACACGCACACACAGAGAGAGGGAGACATTGAGGATCGTCTTTTACTCTCTGCCTGTCTGTCTGTCCCTTTGTGCCCGAGGTATGCACCTTGTCTGCATCTCTGTCCTGTACTCTGATGTCGGGCATGACGTACTCGTAGCACCGGGAGTCGAACAGCTCCAGACTCAACTGGTTCATCGGACCGCGCTGCAGGTTCACCTGCATCCACACACAGACCGACACACATGTATCCACGTGCACCTAGATGAAGGAGGGAAAGTGCAGGCCTCCCACCAACCCACCAACCGACCCAGAGGTTTTTGTGGTTCCATATGAGGTCGATGCTGTGGTAGGGACAGGCCTGGGGCGAATACAGCCGGCCTGTGGTCGGCTCTATGTACAAATCATCAGACACCTGCACACGACATCACACATACATATGTGTCTGTCCGCGTCCATCCACCCGTGCAGCCAGCATATATCTCGCGCCACCAGGTGTGTGCCCGTCCATGTGTGTGTGTGACTTGCTTACGTCCCTTGGTCCCCTTCTGAGGAGCACCCATGCGTGGAGCCTCTTGCCCTCCATCGGGTCCTTGTCCTCCTCCGGCTCATCCTCACTGTCGCTCTGCTGCGCCTGAACAAACCCACAGACGAGCAACAGATCCATACATCACTAGACGAGGTGACAGGAAAAGCCGCAAAGAGAGAACATGTATCTCTTTGTGTCTCACGATTCGTTTCTCCTCGGCTTCTTTGGTGTCCTTCTCCCTTTGCATCTTCTCGATGAACTGCGACTTGGGCGCCTCCTTGGGCTTGATGACCACATCAGTCGGGTCCTTCTCGCCCTCCTTCGGGGCGGCCAGGGATGGCGCCACCGACACGCCATCATCCGCACCCTCGCCCCCTCCCTGTCGGCCGACGATCGACACAACCAACACATGCATATCACCACAGTGCTGTTGCTTGGACGATGCATAGCACAAAGAAACTCACATCTTTTCTGTCAGACATGCATGAGGGCACGGCAGTCTCCGCCCAGAGTTTGGCGCCGGTTGAAATGGTGGGTGAGGAGGCGGTCAGGGGCACGTAATGTATTGTCTCCCCGGTGGTTTCATCGAACTCGGGGCACTGGAAAGTCGCCTCGTCCCGCAGTGTGATGGTGCGCGGGGCAGTCCCGCTCACGCAGTAGGCGTCATACCCTACACCTGTATCAACATACGACCGACAAGTGGCTGTGAGGTCTCTGCTGCCTGGCTGCCTGCCTTCCCGCCCACCTGCTCACCGATGAGCAGGGACGCCAGCACGATGCTAAAGTCGAAACAGTCGCCCGTCTGCCAGAATATGGAGAGGCCATCCATCCATCCATCCGTGCTTTCATCGATGTGATTGCGTGGTGTGGTGTTGTGCCTTGCCTGCCATCTGAGCACAGTAGCAGGTGCGGGGATGACCGGCGGGTGCTCGTCAGGCGGATTAAGATGCTCGTAGCCCAGCAAGTCCGACAAAAAAGCGGCGCAGCTGCGGTAGTCATACAACTCCCTGCACCCCCCCCTCCCCCCCCAGCCCAGTCCAGTCATGAATGGTGAATGGGGACTGTGTGCACTCCTTGACGCATACCTGTAGGAGAGTTTGGTTGGCCGCACGGTGGTAGGCAGGAACTTGTTGATACCGAACTCGTTGGGAGGGGCGAGGAACAGGAAACGGGGACCATACAGAGTGCGGAACTGAACGCACACACACACACACAGACACAGAGTGACAGCTGAATCGATGGGTGCAGTGCAGGCAACACTGCAGGCAGGCAGGCAGGCAGCAACGTCGTCTGACGTGCCCACCTGAACTTCGAACTTCTGGACTTGTTCCATGAGCGTCTTCTCCTTGAGGGAGCTCTCGCGGTACTCTCGTTTGCAGTTGAGGTTCTCACTCGCAAACCTTCGGGACCGCACAATCTTCTCCTTGGTCTCCATTTTGCAAGGTGATGACGAGAGGGAAACTACTTTCGAGAGACTGGGGGGGGAGTGGGGGCAAGCTGGCCCGGTGCAACCTGGCCGAAACGCCGAGAAGAAGATCCTCTCTCCTCAGCGTCATCCAGAGAGATCTTTGCGAAGTCGCCGAGCGCCACACCTTTTTTGACGTCTTCGGGAGCCTCTGTGAGGATGACGCGTGGTTTGGGCCTTGCTACCGTCCTGCTGCCAGTGGTTGGCCTCTCCAGCACCGTGCTACAGCGCAACCATGACCGACGTAAGCACAGCGGAAGCACACAGCGTCCATCACGGCAGATCTGCCCATGTTGTGCGTTGGCTGATCTATGGCTGCAGAGGGGCTGGTGGCCGCTCATGAGCTTTGTATACGTATAGAAGTGGTGTGTGCGATCATGGCGCCCATCCGTCCAGTGTGTTGTGTGCCTGACGGATGGATGCAGGTGGTGAGTTGTCGGCGTCTGAGGCCCAGCAGATGTCATTGGTGCAGCTGCAGCTGGACCACGCTGGCAAGGCCATCGCTGCCGCCCACCAGCTCAGCACTGCCGCCCACGAACTGACCCCTACGTCCATGCAGGCCATCGGCACGGCACACCGCACCGTCATGACATTAGCCAACGCCGGCAAGACCGACCAGCCCAAAGGTCTGCCCGCAGAGCGAACAACAGGTGCCCGCGTAGATCGTTGATGCCTTGCTCTCCCCCGCCCCTCCCTCCCTTGTCTGTTCTGTTTGCGTGCAGACTTCTGTGCGTTGCGGATCTACTCTTACCGGCACGGCACTGAACACGGCACTCGAGTCAGCCCCCTACCCTTACCTACCTACCTACCCCGCGACAACAATGAGAACATCTGCATGGGCACGTGGTCCGACGAGGGCGACGCTCCCGCCCCTCCACTTCCCGGCAGCGACTTTCTCCGCATCATCGGTGAGTTGAAGGGACGCGAGTGCATCGAGCCTGGCGACGTGCCGAAGAAGTGCAAGGGCGGCAAAAACCGCACCGACCATGGCGTGAAGTGGTGTGAGGCTAAGGAGGGTTAGTTAAGAAGTAGCAGCATAGCGGCCGCCTGGTTGGCCACAGGCAGCCAGCGAGCCAGCCAGCCAGGCAGCCTGGAGAGATAGATGGATAGATAGGCACCCAGACAGACAGACAGACAGACAGACAGATGGGTGGATGAGACACCTCCCTCTATGGACAGAGGGTGAGGGGTAGAGGGTGAGTTGCCTGTAGGTGGCTGAGTGGCTGGGTGGCTGGTACCTCTCGCATTAGCTATGCCAGGTCTCTCTGCCTGCCTGTCTGTCTGTCTGTCTGTCTGTCAGATTGATTGGTTTTAAGCCGTATGAGGTGTGGTGCGGTGTGAGGGAGAGGAGAGAGACTGCTGCTGTACAGTGAGTGCTAGCATGTGACTGACTTGATTGATGGATGCGGCCACGCACGCTCGCACGCACACAATCATCAATCAATCGACAGATATCATCCTCTCACCCCACCGCCCTC